TTTTGTTAAATGCAACTTCTAAAATATTGTGCTCAACTTTAATTTTAAAAAGATGTAATCCTTTAATTAAATCTTTTGAAATTTATTTATTATAAATCACTTCATTATAATTTTATTTATTATAATCATCTTCTTCACTATCAATTGGATTCTCATTAAATAATTCATCATCTCATTCATTAAAAACTTCATCATTATTAATCAGATCCTCATTAAAAACTCATCATAATCTTATCTATCATAATCTTTTTCAATATCAATCAGTTTCTCATTAAAAAATTTATCATAATCTCAACCATCATAATCTTTTTTACTATTAATTAGTTTCTCATTAAATAATTTATCCCCATGTTTATTATCATTATTTTCTTCAATATCTGATATTTTAATTGGATCTTTATTAGATAATTCAGCATTATGATCTCATTCATTTTGATTTAATTTTAAAATATTAGTAGAAAAATTAGAAGTTACTAGACATTTTTGTGATATAGATATATCATTTTGATTAGTCTAAATATCTTTTTACTTTTTTATATGTCTTGCATAAGTAGCCCAATTAACTATTTTTTTCTAGTTATTTGATTTTTATAAGCATCAAACATAAGTACAAAGAACTTAATCAACTATTTTTTTAAAAAATATTCAAAATATTTGTTAAAAAGAATTAAATATAATAAATAAAAAATATCATAATATCGATCAACTTAATTTATATATAATATTGAATTGATTACTAATATTATTATTATACTAATATTAAATGTAAAATTATATAAAGTTAAACTTAAAGTAAAAGTATTAGAAAAAGTATCATTAAATATATGATATAAATAATTTTAAAATACTTTTGATAAATAGATATAAAATAACCATTATTTCTTTTTATATGATGCGTTACCCTTTTTTATTTCTGATTCTTTTATAATATATTAATTTTTAAAAATTTATTTAAAGATTTAAAAATATAAAATAATACTCTAATTAATATATTTGCATTTACTTCTGAAGAACGTTAACACCTTTTTTTGCTTTATTATATGTTGATCTAACTTTACTTAAAGTTTTAAATTCTGAACAACACTATTATTTGTATATTATACTAATTGCTATTATTCCTCACTACTTTTAGATGCATGTAATACTGTATATAATATTACAAATGAGCAAGTAAAAAAGTAAATAAAAAATTTATAAATCTATTAATAATAAATATTATAATAGTTTTCAATAGACTCTATAATGAATTCAATTAAGCTTAAAGATTATGAGAACTATAAGGAGTCCAGAAAAATAATCAAAAAATATTTAATTAGCATGAACTTTTAAAACTCAATAAAGGTTAATATTTAAATTTAGAGTAAGTATTAGTTGTCTTTTTAATTATATAATTAATTTTATATAAAAAGTATAAAATTTAAATATTATTACAAAATGATTTAAATAATCATATTACTTCTCATTTCATATGTGATAAAGACTTATCTTATCAATTAAATTGAAGGGTTGGAGAGGTTATCAATAATATAAGTAATATAAAATTTAATTATAAAAATAAATATTAATATTAATTCTAAAAATAGTTTAAAACAGCTAATCTAATATTTTCAGTATTTAAAACTGATTTTTTTTTTTATGATTGGCTTATCATATATTATAATAGTATAAGTAAATTTTAAATAATTTTAATAATAATTTTAATAAATTAATATATTTATAATACTATTATAGTTAATTAGAAAAAAAAGAAAAAGGTTGTAAAAGCAAAGGATAAAGGGTTTTCATTATCATCAAAAAAGAAGAATATTTGATCTTCCCTTAAATTAAAGCATAAAATAGATAATTCTATGCATGAAATAAATGATAATAGCTTGCAGTCCCTGAAAACTTAAGTATTTAATATTTAAATTTATTTTATTTTTAATTATAAATAATTTAATTTTATTATCATTGAATATTGATTAAAAAAGTGACTACTTCAGTAGTACTAGAAGTTACTATGAAAGAATTTAAAATTTCAAAAGAAATTGACATTCTAAAAGTATTTGATAAGTTTCAAAAAGTATAGTCTAATAAATATTATACAAATTTATTATTTCTTTTTATACATATATAAGTTTAAATTTCTTATTAATAGGTAAAAAAAGCAAAAGAAAGAAAACAATTGAAGATATTTCAGAAAATTATATACAAAAAACTAGTAAATAAATTGAGAGTATAAAAGAATAATTTATGTATTTTGGTAAATTTATTAGTTTTTTTATTTTTTTTTATTAAAATATATATTCAGCTTTTTTTCCATTATATATACATATTATTATACAGTAATTACATGATTCTTCTATATTGCTTATATACCTATAAAAAACTACAGTATTTTTTTCCATTATACATCCATATAATATTCAATAAAATTACAGTATTTTATTTGTTATACATCCATATAATATTTAATAAAATTACAGAATTTTTTCTGATAAATATCAGTTTTATTATTTAATAAAATTACTGTATTTTTTCTGATAAATATTAGCTTTATTATTCAATAAAATTACTGTATTTTTTTGTTATATATCTATATTATTTTCAGTAAAATCAGTAAAATTTCCTTTTTGTATAATTATTAATTTTATAAAATATGTTACATATATAAAAAAATACGAATTAATTTATTTATTAAATTGACAAAAAAATTATTGATTTAAAATATAAAATAAATACAGATTCAAATCATGAAAAAAATTTTTTATAGTTTTTGAAAAGCTTATATTTTTTCTATCTTCTATTACTAGAATATATCAAAGCAGAATGTTTATTAATTTAGTTATTTCTTGCTTAAAATTTACAAAGTATAAATCTAATTACAATTACTGAAAGGAGTTATTAATATTATTAAAATACAACACATTCATTACTTTCAGTGAATAAATATTTTATGATAATTAGAATGCTAAGGCATTACTGAAATTTAAATGAAATACTTTTAGAAGATTATATTATTATATTTTGTGGGAATTTTTTACCATGCTTTTGTTCTCTTTTGTAATTACCTCAACCTTATCTTCATCTATGATTTCAAATGACACTAGAAATATTTTTTAAGGATCAGCATTATTTTTAGTTTATTTCATATTATTTATAAAATTAGATTTATAGAATTTGTTTGGTATTTTTAAAATTCAATTTTAATATATTTTAAAATAATTATTTTTTTATATGCTATTTGTAACATATATTTTTCTAATATACACTACCTTCATTTGGTTACATTATGCAAAACCTTTATTATTACATTACATTCTTACGAACTCTTAATTATTTTAGTAATAATTTTATTATTATTATTAATATAGCTAAAAGGATATTTTTTTTCTTAATAATTTTATTACTGTTTAATTTGCTTCGCATATGCTTTTTATCTTATTCTGATCAAAATTAAATTTATAATTTGAATGAACCTACTTATAATTATGATCCAAATAATTTATGAAATCTTGTTATGAAATATCAATCAGTTTTTTAAATGAAGAAATCAGTTTCAAAACAAATTTATTCATTCTAATTCTAATTTGAATCAGTTTTCCACTTATTAAATCTCACTTTTGGTTAATAATATAGGTAAAACTGATATATATTGCTCTAATCTAAAACTGAAACTATCTGAAATTACTTTCCCTCAATAGTGTAATTTTCTGATATTCCAAAATTCTGAAATCTATCTGATATTTCAAAATCTTATCTGAACTTAATTTATATATCTGAAATTATAAATAATAAAATATTTAATATTTGATAAATAAAAATATTTAAAAATAAAATTTAAACAGTTTATTTATTATGTAATTGTTATTAATATTATTTATATATTTATTTGCAATAGCTTTTGAATCTTAATCTTTATCTATATCAACTACTAATACTATGATTATCATTTTCATCTACATTTTTTTATCTAGATCTGATATAATATTCTTTGCATTTAAATTTACTAAATTTTCAATTATAAGATTTTCTTCTTTTTCATAATTAAATTGCTCATTTTTGAAATCTTCTGCTTCTTGTAAAAATTCATAATCATTATCTTCAATTACCTCTCAAACTTTAGATAATACATCTAGACATAAACTTGTCAAATGCTCTTTACATATTTTTGGTGATTTTTATACTAATATTTTTTATAATAAGCATAGGTAGCATTATAATATCCTTTTAAAATTTATTAACTTTGTTTAATACATTGTGATGGGTAAAATTTTAGATAGATTTAATTGGTACAATATGAAGTCAATTTTATTGTCATGTAGATCTTCTATGAAGATCATTTTGTTCATTTTATTGCTGTTGATCAATTATGTAAATCCTTAAATATCAATTTTATTGCCTTTGATAATCACATATATCATAGATGTTTATTTAGTTGCCTGCTAATCTGGCAATTTTATTGATATAACAACTTTATTGCCTAGTGAAATGGAAACTTTATTTCCTTCGATATTTTTAGTTTAGTTTATTTTATTATTTATTCAACATGTATAAATATTCTGTATTTTCTTTGAATCTTAGCACTGATAAGATATTAATCTTTTAGGTACTGAACTTATTTATTATATTAATAAAGGAGTATAATTAACTAAGTATAAAACTTATCCTTCG